CCACCATGGTAAATGACCATGGAATTCCTGATAAAATTAATTGCTACATATACACCTCACCAGACTTTCTGAAATAAATGAAAGAAGTTTAAAGACCAGCTTGGGCTGAACTTTCTCAATGATCATTCTTAACATTTATTTCATTAAAAAAAACCTCTACAGTTCAGATGGTGATTTCTAGGTAACAATGCCCAGGTAGCAGTGCAAATGGTGCACCTAAAATAACTATTGTGAGGGAGTTCCCTGTTGGCCGAGTGGTTAGGATTCCGGGTTTTCACTGCTGCGACCTGGGTTCAATCCCTGGTCAGAGAACTGAGATCCTGCAAAGCCGTGAGGCGTGGCCAAAAAAAAAACAAACCCCCAAACACAAAAAAACCCCACAAAACTGTTGTGAGCCATCACAAATAAAGTAGTCACATCTGCATGTAATTAAAATAGAATTGTTCTTTGTTGCTTAAAGTAGCATATATACATCATTTTTATTAATATTTTGACCCTAGCTATAATTTTAATATTTCATACTTAAATAATCAAATTTAAGAGCAATATTCTAGTTATCAATGACCTCTGTTAAACCAACAAAGAGATCCATGTTGTCGCTGTCTTGGCTTTCACTTTGGATAAGCCAAAATGCTAAAGCATGTCAAAAGATATAGTATACACCTCGGCTACACAAGAATACAACTTCCTGGTGGACATACCCACTTAAGTGCCTCACAAACACCCAAATAGCATGTTTTCTAACCAACCTACTTCTCTTTCTTCTATTCCCATCCTCCATCTGGTCACCAAAGCCACAATGTTGAAGTTACCTTAGTCTCTCCTTTCTCACATTAAATCAATCACTGAGCTCTGCTAGTTTACCTCTATATATTTTTCAACTTTGTCTCCTCCTTTTCAACCCTCCCATCCCTGTAATAGTTTAGAACATAGTGATTTTTTGCTAGACTACTGTGATAATCTGAGATTTCTGCATCTGGTCATATATCTACCCTTCAGAATGCAGCAAGTGTCAGAAAATGATTCCAGGAAGCCTGGAAACTTGGTTGCATTTAATATGCAACAGAAAAAGGTGGGAGACATCCAGATAGAAGGAAGAGCATTCACAAAAAGTGAGTCTGGGGCTTCCCTGATGGCACAGTGGTTGAGAGTCCGCCTGCTGATGCAGGGGACATGGGTTCGTGCCCTGGTCCGGGAAGATCCCACATGCCGCGGAGCAGCTGGGCCCGTGAGCCATGGCCACTGAGCCTGCGCGTCCAGAGGCTGTGCTCCGCAACGGGAGAGGCCACAACAGTGAGAGGCCCGTGTACCACAAAAAAAAAAAAAGTGAGTCTGGGTAAATGGAACATGAAAACTGTCAGGCAAGTCAGAATGGCTGGAGCGTTGGATGAGGTGAGAGATCAGGTAAGGAAAGTATTAAGTGGTAAGATCATGAAGATCTTTGTGGGTTTCAAACTATAATTCCATTTCCTATTGATTCCCACATGCCAGACAAATCAAAAAACCTACTGCCACAGACAATATTCAGAGGAGGAAGAAGAACAACAACAACTCTGAATCATTTATGTAACAATCATTGAAAGAATCATGTTCATACTTAGTGCATGTGCCAACCTCCCCACTACAATGCCTGCTGAGTAGCAGTATGTTCAAAAACTGAATAATGCCTTGAAATATGTCTGGAGTCAGAGACTTTAATTAACCTCTCTTACTTTTTAAAGTTCCATCTCAAAAGCCACTTCATTCTTTCAACCTTTCTGCCTGAATCATCTGCCACTAATTGAATGTTATGTCTCTCTTCCAGGCTCTCACAACCTTATATGTATCTCTTAGCTCTCACTCTTTTTCACTATGAATGTCTGACCATAATGTTGCTTGAATGTAAATTCTACAAGCCAGACTTTATCTCAACTGTGACTAACTTCAAGTCACCAAATTATTATGTTTATTTGTGCTTCTGAAGTGCCAAAAGGCACTGGTGTATAATAAAGAAGAAATGATAGTGGGAAGACAAAACTCACTCTTTACTTTTCTACCTTTAGATAGTTGCCATAAAGAAGAAACTTGAGAGCTCTAAAAATGGGATGTGGAAACCATGTTTGATTTTATGGCTACTTCCCATCCCTAAGGATCAGTAATCTAGACTTACATACATTTAAAACAGTTTTAGATGATACTCTGGAATTCTAAAACAAGCAACTGAAAGATCTCAGTAGCAAGAGGTAGACACTTCCAGTATTACAGAAGTAGACACTAATTTAGGGTGTGACAGCAAGGAAGGATATACATATTAAATAGTGGATGTTGTCACTTACCTGTCGAATTGACATGGTACAGAGAATATACAGGAAGATGAAGGAACAGTCTGTGGTATCGTCCCCCAGCAGATTTCGATGAGACAGTCCTTGGATGTAGGAAAGCGGGGTGAAAGGGAGCTTTGCCACCACTCTACCATCAAATCTAAAAGGGAAAAAACAAAGAACTGTTATTTTTGGAAGACTGACAAGCTTCTTAGTTCCAGAGAAGAATCTGGGACAGAAATAGAACTCTAAGTTCCTTGATCTCTAAAAAACAAAGAAAGGATAATATTCTAAAAAGAGACTTGAAGTATAAGGATGTAAGGAAGGGTGCCTAGATTTTTCCCATCAATCTTTTTCTAAACTAGTGATTCTTAATTTTTTCAGTATCAGGATCCTTTAACACTCTGAAAAATTACTGAGGACCCTAAAGAGGTTTCATTTAGAGGTTATATCTATCAATATTACTGTTTTATAAATTAAAACAAATTTTAAACCATTTATCAAATCATTTAAAAGGTAGTAATATTCAGTATGTTAACACAAGTATTTTTATGGAAAATATATTTTCCATACAGAAAAAGAATTTAGTGAGAGGAAAGGCTTTTTCACCCCAATCTCTTTAATGTTTTATTTAATAGAAAAATGTTGGATTCTCATAGCTGCTTCATTACTCAGGCTGTTGCATTACACACCCTATGAAGCCTCTGGAAAATTCCACTGTACATTCATGACAGAAGGAGAGTGAAGAAGGCAAATAACATCTTAGAATTATTACCTCAAGGACCTCCTAAAAGTCTCAGAGACCTCCAGGGATCCCCAGACCACACTTTGAGACCCACTGTTCTAAACCATGACACCAATAAGATTTTAAGAACCCTCTTTTCCAAGACTCAAAGATTCCCAGTATATACACATTAAACAGGATAAACACTTCTAGAGAGAAATTCATGGAATATACATAGTGGTGAATGAAAAATGGCTGGCATACATAATACTCTTGAGATAACTTTTAACATACTTCTAATGTTTGAAAGTAATTCCTTTTACTTTTTCTAAAATAGAAAAGAAAAATGTTTTGAAAAGAGAAAATCTTAGAAAAAAACTAGAAGAAAATATGTATCAGTGTTTATTTTGAGGTGCTGGGGATATAAACTTCTTTTATACTTTTCTATGAATAAGCTGTACAGTCAGACAATATTGAGAATTATAAATTAATGTGATTAAGGATAGTGATACTTCATAATATTAGAAAAATATATGACAGCATCAGTTACATTATCCAAATAAAGTCTTTAACTCCAGTTAAAATATCTAGAACATTCCCTCTTAGAAAAACATTTGGTATTTAGAATGTTTCTATAGAGGGAGAGGGAAAAGAGAGGTAGCATTACCATCTTTTTCGTTGGGGAAAAAAATCCCTAAATATCCATATTAACTATTGTGGTTATAAAGAGCTTCTTATACAGCTGAACTCCAAAGAATATAAATAGAATGAATTTGACATATTCTATACATATGTATCATTGTCCACTTACTATTTCCAACTGCTTTCCTAGTATATAGTTTGCACAGGGTAAGGGCTCAATCATGAACTGCTGTTACTTGGATATGACAAAAATATTTAAAGATCTGCTTGAAGTAGTTATTCTTATCTACTAACCTCACAAAAGAAAAACAAAGTATTGTAATAACTTTTCCAGGAGGAGATATTCCCATTCACTCACAGGAAGTATTATACACAGTTGTTTCAATATTTCCTGGTTATATGCTATATGCAGTATACTGTTCTACATATACCACTCTACTCTCCATCTACAGAGTTAAACTCTGAGGAGTAGGGCTGGAATAAATATAGCCCAAAATGTTTACCCCTCTTATTGCTAACATACACACCCAACAAATTCATCTTATATAGTCATTTTATTCCTTGACATTTTTGCCTTGAAATTGTAACCAAAAAGAAAATCTTTTACAACTAATAAATGAATTCAGCAAAGTTTCAGGATGGAAATCAACATACAAAAATCAGTTGCATTTCTATACACCAACAATGAACTATATGAAAAAAAGAATAAAACAATCCCATCTACATCAAAAACAATAAAATACTTAGGAATAAATTTAATCAAGGAGGTGAAAGATATATACACTGAAAACTATAAGACATTGATAAAGAAACTGAAGAAGACACAAATATATGGAAAGATATCCATGTTCATAGACTGGAAGAGTTAATATTGTTAAAATGTCTATACTATCCAAAGTCATCTACAGGGCTTCCCTGGTGGCACAATGCTTAAGAATCCACCTGCCAATGCAGGGGACAGAGGTACAAGCCCTGGTCCGGGAAGATCCCACATGCCATGGAGCAACTAAGCCCGTGTGCCACAACTACTGAGCCTGCACTCTAGAGCCAACGAGCCACAACTACTGAGCCTGCATGCCACAGCTACTGAGGCCCACATGCTTAGAGCCTGTGCTCCGCAACAAGAGAAGCCACCACAACGAGAAGCCTGTGCATCACAATGTAGAGTAGCCCCCACTCCTTGCAACTGGAGGAAGCCCGTGTGCAGGGAGGAAGCCCGTGTGCAGGAATGAAGACCCAATGCAGCCAAAAAATAAATAAATAAAATAGATTTATTAAAAACAACAACAACAAAGTCATCTATAGACCCAATACAATCTCTAATCAAAACTCTACTTTTCACAAAAATAGAAACATCCATACTAAAACCCATATGGAACCACAAAAGATCTTGAATAGGCAAAGCAATCTTGAGAAAGCTGGAGGCATCAAACTTCCTGATTTCAAACTATGTTACAAAGCTATAGTAATCAAACCAATATATTACAGGCACAAAAACAGACATGCAGACCAATAGAATAGAATAGAGAGCCCAGAAATAAACCCAGTCAACTAATATCTGACAAGAGCCAGAAATGCTCAGTGGCGAAAAGGACAGTCTCTTCAATAAATGGTGCTGGGTAAACTGGGTATTCACATGCAAAAGAATTACACTGGACCCCTATCATACACTACTCACAAAAATTAACTCAAAATGGATTAAGGACTTAAACATGATACCTGAAACTGTAAAACTTCTAGAAGAAAACGTAAGGAAAAAAGCTCCTTGACATTGGTCTTGGCAATAATTTTTTTGGATATGACACCAAAAGCACAAGCAACAAAAATCAACAAATGTGACTACATCAAACTAAAAAGCTTCTGCACAGCAAAAGAAACAAAATGAAAAGGCAAACTATGAAATGGGAGAAAATATTTGCAGACTATATATCTGATAAGGGGTTAATATCCAAAATATATAAGGAATTTGTACAACTCAATAGCAAAACAAAAAACTGCCAAATAATCCAATTAAAAAGTGGGCAGAGGATCTGAATAGATATTTTTCCAAACAAGACATACAAATGGCCAAGAAGTACATGAAAAGGTGGTCAACATTACTAACCATCAGGGAAATACAAATCAAAACCACAATGAGATTTCACCTCATGCCTGTTAGAATGACTATTACCAAAAGGACAAGAGATAACAAATGCTGGCAAGAATGTGGAGAAAAGGGACCCCTGGGCACTATTGCTGGGAATGTAAATTGGTACAGCTACTATGAAAAACAATATGGATGTTCCTCAAAAAATTAAAAGTAGAACTACCATATGATCCAGAAATCCCATTTCTAGCTATTTAGCCAAAGGAATTGAAATAAACTACTGTCTCAAAGAGATCTGTACTCCCATGTCATTGCAGTGTTATTCATAATAACCAAGATACGGAAACAACCTAAGTGTCCACCGACAGATGAACGGATAAAGAAAATGTGATATATATACTGTATACAAGTCTGACAGAGAAAGACAAATACTGTATGACATCACTTATATATGGAATCTAAAAAAGCTGAACTCATGGAAACAGAATTAGATTGGTGGTTGCCAGAGGACGGGGGTTGAGGGAAATGGGGAGATGCTGGTCAAAGGGTACAAACTTCCAGTTTTAAGATGAATAAGCTCTGGGCTTCTAATGTACAGCATAGTAATTATAGTTAATACTGTATTATATGCTTGAAAGCTAAGAGAGTAAGTCTTAGTTGTTCTCACCGCCACCACAACAAAATGATATTTATGTGAGATGAAGGATTTGCTAACTGACCTTACTGTGGTAATCATTTTGCAATATGTATGTGTATCAAATTATCACTCTGTACACCTTAAACGTACACAGTGTTCTATATTATATGTCATTATATATCTCAATAAAGCTGGAAAAAAGCTTTAAAAGAAAAAGGAGAGAGAAAACCTTTCATGTCCTATAAGTGAGTTATTCATTTATGTGTAACTGAACATTTAGTACGAATGAGACCTTAAACCAGCCACAAATATGCAGGAAAAAACCCCTTCAAATTAATTTTTCCAGGAGATTAGAGGTTTTCCATAGGAATATCTAAGAATAGACACCATTACTAGTGTGTAGTTGTGGCACACTCCCTCTAATAATGAAGAGTTAGGGAGAAAAAGAAAAAGGTGCAAAGAGAGAGATAGCTTATAATAGGTCAATTATTTCTTTAAGTGAACTTACTCTCTGCAGTTCCAGAGGGCAGGACCACTGCTCATGAACAGAACAAGCAGGCATATTTTGGTCCAGTAAAAGGAAGCACTTTCAAACCCTAAATACTACTCAGTAAAACTATATTATCTCAGAAAACATCAAGCTCCTCATCGTTGAAAATGATTAAAATTAATGGAAAATTATCTGCTAGAGGTATTATTGGAGGGATTTCCGTACTGACACAGAGATAATGTGTTAAAATGACTTTTAAGATCACTTCTAAGATTTAATGTTTCAGCTTTATGGAAATGATCCAGAAGAGAAGCCAAAGACAAATAAACAGCTGAATTTGGTGCCTCTTGTTGCTACTCTGGCAATCTGGAGCTCAAGTCCTTCCCATCTTAGTCTAACTTGAGGCTTTTTTCTTATCAACAATTGTAAGACTAAAATGGATATTAGAGATAATGTATTCCATTCTATAATAATAAACAGATGATCAAGGTGAAACTAAGAGAAATTATGCAAAAAATGAATAGTGATTGTTCAATACAATCAAAATATGTACTAGACTCTGTAATAACTGACACCCACATTACTTTTGTTTAGAACTGCTGAGGGATGGTGGGCTTTTTTTTCTATACTTTTTTTCCTTTTTTTCCCATTTAAATTTAAAATTCATACATACAAATATGATTAAATTTTGATTAAATTATTATTTGCTAATATTTTTAATGAAAAGAAAAAGAAAGAGGTACATTCGGTTTCAATCCCAGCTATTGTCTGGACTGTCATGTCACACGAACAATGACGTTTTATCTGGGGTTATGAAGATAGCATTGAATCTTACAAATTGGATATTCTGAACACCAGATCTGAAATGTCTGCTTTTCAGTATATGTGAAATAAAACTTGGAATTTGCTCACCAAAAAAAAAAAAAAAAATGTACTAGACTTTTAATCTCACATACCAGCTTATAAAAATAGAGATACATTCTTTAACTTCTAGGTGCTCACAGTCCTAGACATAAGAAATATATATATTTAAATTTCTGGTCTGAGCACAAAGACCAGAAAAAAAAACATGGATACCATTCAGCAACCATGCTCCTTGGTATCTATCCAAAGGAGTTAAAAACATGTTCACAAAAAAACCTGCACACAGATGTTTATGGAAGCATTATTCATAATTGCCAACTGATGAACCTGCAATGGCACCTCATTATCACCCAAAGTCCACAGTTTACATTAGGGTTCACTCTTGGGTTTTAATAAATGTATAGCAACATGTATCACCATTAAGTATCACACAGAATAGTTTTACACTAAAAAATCTTCTGTGCTCTGCTTATTCATCCCTCCCTCACACCTAATCCCTGGCAACCACTGACCTTTTTACTGTCTCCAGAGCTTTGCCCTTTCTAGAATGTCATATAGTTGTAATCATATAGTACGTAGCCTTTTCAGGTTGATTTCTTTCACTTAGTAATATGCATTTAAGGTTTCTCCATGTCTCTGCATGGCCAATAGCCCATTTCTTTTTAGCAATGAATAACACTCCACTGTCTGGATGTTCCACAGTTTATCCGTTTACCAACTGAAGAACATCTTGGTTGCTTCCAAGTTTTGGCAATTATCAAGCTGCAATAAACATCTGTGTGCAGGTTTCTGTGTGGACATAAGTTTTCAACTCATTTGGTTTCACTTTCACTTTTTATTCTACATTATACTGTTTGAATTTTTTAGAAGTACTTGTGTATTACTAGTATAAGAAAATCTTTTTCTTTTTAAACTTTGGTTCTGATGCGCACTCCTGGTTAATATCTACTACATAGGGCTTCCCTAGTGGCGCAGTGGTTGAGAGTCCGCCTGCCAATGCAGGGGACACAGGTTCGTGCCCCGGTCCGGGAAGATCCCACATGCCGGGGAGCGGCTGGGCCGGTGAGTCATGGCCGCTGAGCCTGCGCATCCGGAGCCTGTGCTCCGCAACGGGAGAGGCCACAACAGTGAGAGGCCCGCGTACAGCAAAAAAAATAAAAATAAAAATAAATAAAAATAAATAAAGAAAAGATCTACTACATAAGCTTTGGGAAGCTACCTGATATATCATAAACTAGTCATTTCAAATCATCAGGGAAAATATATTATTTGTTCCCTACCTGGTATTAACAATAGCTAAGTACTTGGTAAAGTTGGAAACTAACCACCAAAAAAAATTACAGATGAAACAAAATTTAAATATAAAAAATAAAAAGTAGAAAAAAATTTATATAATCTGGTATGAGAAAGGCACTATTTATATAACAGAAAAGAGTAACAGATTTGACATAAAAATTAACATTGCCCATATATCTCAAAGACAGCTTAATAGTCTCAATAAATAAAAAATTCTTATAAAAAGAAAATAAGGGAAAGAACATGAACTAGAAATTTAGAAATAGATAAACATAATAAATATATGAAAAGATGCTACATCTCACAAGAAATGCAAATTTTAAAAGAAATATTATTTTTTAGCTATTAGATTTGCAAATATTAAACAGATACATAATTCCCAGTGATGACAAATATATGAAGAAAGAACCACTCACAAGTACTGAGGGCAATAATCGAAAAATATAAATTAATAAAAAGCTTTCTAGGGGAATTCCCTGGCAGTCCAGTGGTTAAGACTCCGCGCTTCCACTGCATGGGGTCGCGGGTTCGATCCCTGGTCGGGGAAACTAAGATCCTGCATGCTGTGTGGCAAGGCCAAAAAAAAAATTTCACCTAAGCAATACTTCTAGGATATGCCTGAGGAAAAAATAAGTATACACTGGTGTACATACTACCTGTGAAAATTCTGTGTGAAGATTAATAGAAGATTATATAAGTTAGGGTACATCCATTCAATGGAATACTGACAGACATTAAAAATGATTATGCAAGATGGTGGCACAGTGGTTAAGACTCTGCCCTCCCAATGCAGGGGGTCCGGGTTTGATCCCTGGTCAGGGAACTAGATCCCATATGCATTCTGCAACTAAGAGTTCACATGCCACAACCAAGGAGCCCACGAGCCACAACTAAGACCTGGTACCACCAAATAAATAAATAAATAATTTTAAAAATCCTAGCCTGCATGCAGCAATGAAGACCCAACGCAGCCAAAAAATAAAAATAAAAATATAAATTTTTAAAAAATTAAAAAAAAATCCTCTAAAAATGATTATGCAAGAGTTACAAATACTGTATTTAAAAAATTATCACAGGTAACTACAGTAGGTTACAAAACAACCATTTTGGGGTATAAAAATTAATACATACAAATATCTAAATGTTTGTATACGGACAGAAGTAGTACAAATCTTGAAAGGACACGTACTCATTTGAGGAAGGCAGAGTGATCTTTACTTCATATTTTATACATTTATATATTATTGGAATTTTTCCAGTAAGAATTTATTACTTCAATGATTACAGAAAAAAATGTAATAAAAGGTTACACCTGAGGGGAAAAATATGGCATTGGGAGAAAAATATATTTGAATCAGATGCCCTTCCCATAGAGCAGCCGTTCATACCATGATATGTTCACAAATAACATTTAAGAAAGAGAACCACATGAATATAAGGCAGCATTACCACTGGTAGAAATGGCCACCATTCTTTCTTCCTTTTCTTTTTTTTAAAATTCAGGTATACATAAGTTTTACAATATTAAATAAGTTCCCGGTGTACAACATAGTGATTCGCAGTTTTTGAAGATTACACTCCATTTAGAGTTATTATAAAATATTGGCTATATTCCCCACAGTTCTTTCTTAATCAGCCTATTTTGTTAGAACCCACCTGTATATAAGACTAAGGAATAAAATCAAATGCTGAACTTCAAGCAAAGCAGTGATTCAAATTTATTGTAGGTATCACACAATAAAGCCAAGACCAGCAAGAATAGCTCTACATACACACACCACTAACCTATAAAAATATTATTTTAAAAATCTGAAGTATGAGAAAAATAAGATGTTAAGCATCAAATTTTTTTAAATATAGATGAGTACTTAGCTAGCTCTATACTGTCCAGAATGTGACAAATTAAAGAATATTTGAGTATTTGAGTTGTATCAATGAAGTTTACTAGTTAACTACAAAATCTTTCAGTGTTTGGTTTGCCTGGTAATCCACGGTGATATATACCTAAGAAATGAAAGAAAGCATAGCAGTGACAAAAGGATACTGAGTTTAGAGTTATAAGTTAGAAATTATGAGACTTCTAGAGACCTTGGGAAAGTTATTTAATCTTCCAAAGGTCCTTTTCAGCAGTAAAGGTCTATGATTTTAGTAATCACTGGTTAAGTGGAAATTTTGCATTAAAATCATTTTGGACATTCCCTTTGGTGCCTCACCTAAGTAAAAATAACCACTCCCCTTTCCCCCCCCTACTATATTTCACACACACACACACATCCATCAATGTACTGATTTGTTTGTCCTTTCTTTCTATAAAATTTTGATATTACTGAGGGCAGGGAATACATCTTATTTGTTATATTCTGATACTTAGTACAATGCCTGGCACAAAGTAGGCCCTTGACAGGTGGGAAGAGAAGAACAGACTGGAGGTGGGGCAGGGTGTGGGTACAAGGAGAGAGCGACAGACAGGTAGAAATGAAGCAGGGGAGGAAGAGTAGGAGAAAGGAAAGGATAAGAGTGAGCGAGGAAAATGCGTGGGATAGTTCAGGAGAGCTCTGAAAGGTAAGAAATGACAGCTTGTCATCTCTGGATATTTTCCCAGGTTCTGTCAAAAGCAGTCCCACAATTACTCAGGCCTGCTACATGCTAGTTTAGACAACAGTAACCTACCTTATTATTAAACAAGATTATAGTTGTTAAGACTCTATTTTAAGAGTCAAAACATCTCTGTACGACTACCTTCATTTTGAAGAATTTTGTTAGTAAGGAACTTAAAAACCCAGGAGACATACTAAATTCTTTTTAGAGGACCCATAAAACCTTAGTCTTTGCCTTACATATAAGATATCTTCAATATTAAGAGGGTGAAACAGTTATCATATAATTGTATTCCATCAAAATTAAATTTCCCTTGATTTTGACAACTGGATTGAGTTATCAAAATCAAACTGTCCATGTTCTTAGGAAATACACACTTTAGTAGTTATGGGTAAAGGGGCATGAAGCCTACAACAAACTCTTGAATGATTCAGAAAAATATACAAATAATGTATGAATGAGTACATATATGATATGGAGAAACAGAGAAAAAAGGAAAGCAAATGAGGCAAAATGTTAACAATTGTGAATCTGGTTAATCAATGTACTATTCTTGTAACTCTTCTGTAAATCTGAAATATCAAAATATTACCAAAAAAGCTAATTGTTCACATATACACACACATAGAGCAATATTTAGATAAAACCATATAAAAGGCTACTCACATAGAATTAAACATTCCCATTAGGGCAGTAAAACAAAAGCCAATTGCAAACATGGATTTCATTCGAACCTGGAAGGAAACCAACGAATTGTTATTTTACACTAGAGAAAAACCACCACTAAAGCACACCCCAAAAGTTTTGGTTTACGTCATTTCTAAAAGATGCTCCTTGGCAAAAAGCTGTTTATTGGCTAACCCACCCTCCATCTCCAAGGCCTCTTCTCTTTGCCAGCTTCTGATGAATAGTATTGGGGTGGTCATATGACCCAACTCTGGCCAATGAGATGTAAGTACCAACCAGAACTTTTAAAAGGGACAAACTTGGCTAGCATCCCTTTAGGCCTTTTGCCCATACTTCTTGCCTGGAATGAAGAACATAATGCCTGACAGTAAAGCACCATCAAACAACCAAACGACCATAAGCTAAGGAAGGTTAACCTGAGTCCTTAGTGACATTACTGTGCTGCCACAGCAGCCCAGGACTACCAACCTCTGCACCTCTTGTGCAAGTGAAAAAAATTTTATATGTTTAAGCCATTATTAAGCATTTTGTTTCTTGCAGCTAACTTCTTTCTTAATCACATGTGCCATAAAAGTATAAACAAATAAAAGATCATAAAGATATAAGATTAACAGTTTATCAGCAATTTTTATCTATTCTTTCTGCAGTTTCCAAATTTGGTCTCATGAACATGTAATAATTGCAACAACAGAAAAGCTATTTTCAAAAAAAATGCACTTCTAAATTATGATCTTTCTTAATAAGAATTTCAAGAAACAGAAGATAAAATAACACAGCAAAGGTCTCTTGGTAAGCAAAAGACAACTGTTGCACAGTTTAGATGTCCTGTGTTGAATATACAGAAAGTAAGTAGAAAGATAAGCCAAGCCATATAATTAGCCTACCTACACCTCAGAAAGACATGCTTGAACTCTACTCTTTATAAATAATGAGTAAATGGCTAATAAAATCACTTTTCCTTACACTTTATGATATGCCTGACCCTCAGATCAAAAGGCCTCTTAAAGAATAAAGGCCACAATAAAGGCCATCTATGATGCTCCAACTCCTATTTGGGATTACCAGGTCACCATAAAGCCAAAGATTCAGCAATAACATGAGGAAGAAAAAGAAAATAAGCTACTTCATTTGAAAACGTAAGGGGGAAGTTAATAAAAACTGTGTGAAAGGGACAAATTATGACTTCGAGAGACCCTTAAAAAAAGCTATTCATATTACTAACACGAAGCTTCAGTCCAGTAGCATATTTTCACTTCTATTTGGTCCAGGAACAACCATGATATTATTTATAGCCTGCATAACTATAAATTTCTGAAAAGGTAAGTGCAGTGTACTTGATGAAAATCAGGGTCTTTTGCTGAAAAACATGTGGTTTATCATGAAGTTATATTTAGGACTCTTACCATTGATAGATCCCTGTTATTATTCTTCAGTTTCTCTTCTTGCCGCTCTGCAAAGAATTAATGAACTGGTTAATATACACAGCGCTGAGAGCAAAGCAGATGTTAAACTGTCTCTGCCTGATGACTATAATAGCACTTCTGCCTCAGTATCACTTAATAAGATAAGCTGAATACATGGAATACTGTATACTTTGTACTAACAGAAAATTCAAATGCAGCAGGGCACCAAAATAGTTCAAATTAAATAAATAAAAATATTTAAAGTTTAATTTAAACTTGAAGTGTCTGGACTCTGTACATTAAGATATACTCTTACATTACATCAAAAGGAAGTATAACCATAATGACTGTACTTAGGTTTCAAGTATTAATTACCCATCTGTTATGATTTTTTCCCCCCTCTTTCAGTTTCTTTAAGAGAGCATGGAGTCTAAAAATTAAAAGCCAATTAAGATGAATTTAAGATTCAGGTTCTTTCATATTACAGTCAAATCAATCTAAAAATAAGCATAGTTTCATAGTTAAGTCACTTGGAAAGCTAGGAAATTTGACATATATTTCAAGAAAATTGTTATATACACAGAACCTAACCACTAAAGAAGTCTCAGTTGTACATTACTGACCTTATTTACTGTATTCCATCAACGTAAGGGACTTTATTGTACTTATGAAGAAAATGAGGCCCAGCAAAGGCCCAGCAAAGGAGAAGTGACTTTTCAGAGACCACACAGGTATTTATGCCAAAGCCAGGACAAGAATACAAGTTTCCCAACTCCTAACCCAATGATCTCTATATATAGCTCTATATATACTATGCTACTGCTTTCTTTGATTATGCATTTTTATCACCAGGATCAATTCATTCAACAAATACTTATTGATTACCTACTAAATGCCGAGCACTTTTCTGAGCACTAGGGATAAATGAATGAACAAAACACACACAAATCCTCACCCTCACAGGAAGTTTATGAAGTTAAAATATAATACCCTCTAAAAAAAATATACAATTGGAATATATGAAACTGGTGTGAGGGCTGCAAGTTCAGGCAGTTAAAGGAAAGGAAGGAAGAACAGGCCTATAGGAACCACAGACTGGAGTGTAGTTTCCAAACAATGTACAGTGAGATGAATATATGTTTCCTTGTCCTAAATCGTTCCTATCCAGTTTGTTTCCCCTAGGAGGAAAGGATACAGGCAGGAGAAAGTGGGGATTATGAAGATATATGGAAGAAAATGAACAAAATGGGGTGGAACTAAGGTGTATCTCAGGGGCTAGAGCTCTTTTTCTACCTGAGCAGCCCTCTTAAGATGTAATAAGACTTTTTAAAATTGGGTGTTTGAAGATTGGGATGATTAGAAGGTAAACAGGCATAAAACCAAGTAGAGGGGGAAAAGGACTACCACTGAGACATGAAAAGAAAGGTATAGAAAAGCATCTATGCTAGAAACCTTGGCACATCCTTGACTCCCTATTCTATCTTCAATCAAACACCAAGTCCTATTAATTATACCTCATAAATACTTAAGAAATCTACCTCTTCCTCTCCTCCTTACTATCACTTCCTTAGTTAGGATTTCTAACATCTCTTGCTTATATTACTTTCAAGTCTCCTAACAGATCTGCCTCCAAACTTGTTCCCTCAAATCCATCTTCCACATAAATGCAGTCAGATCTACTTAAAAGGCAAAACTGAACAAAATCTTGATACTCCCCAGCTTAAAATCCTTCCATGGCTTTTCATCCCTACAAGATCATGTTTCTTTTTTTTTGGCCACGCCACGCAGCATGTGGGATCTTAGTTCCCCCCATGAGGGATCAGACACACCCCCTGCAGTGGAAGCGTGGAGTCTTAACTACTGAACTGCCAGGGAAGTCCCAAGATCATGTTTCACTATCACCTGCAAGTCCTGCATCTGGCCCCTGCTTACTTCTGCAGCCACATTTCCAACCACTCCCATAAATTTTTATGTTCTTACAATACCAAACAACTTTAAGTTCCTGTATATATGATGCTTTTCTCTTGATTCAGTGTGTTTGTTCATAAAGTCTCTTCTACCTTGGGTGACCAAGTGTCCCAGTTTTCCCTGGACTGTTCCAGTTTTGGCTCTGAAAATCTCACATCCCAACAAACTCCTCGGACTAGACAAATTGGGATGGTTGGCTACCCTACTTCCACCTAGACTGTTTTATCCTACCCTATCAAACCCTTTCCTGGCTAGCCTGTACTCAACTTTTAAGCCTCAGCTCTTGTGTCACCTCCTTTTGACAATCTTGATTCCTTAAACAATACTATTCCAAAAAGCTTTCTACAATTATGAAAATATCCTACATCTGTGCTGTCAGTACAGTAGTCACTAGCTACATGTAGCTACTGAGCAATGAAATGTGACCAGTATGATCGAGGAACTAAAATTTCAACTTCATTTATTAATAATTTTAATTAACTTAAAATCTGAACAGTCAAATATAGCTACAGGCTGCTGTATTGGAAAATGCAGTCTTAGACACCGGATTAGAAGTCCTTTCTTTATGCTTCCAGAATATTCCAAGCATATCTCTATCATTATACTCACCGAGTTTATACATTTTGTTATAATGATCTGTTTATGTACTTGACAATGCAACTAGATGGCAGGCTCCTGGAGGATGAGGACTTCTTCATCTTTGTATCCTCAGTAACTGGCAAGTAGTTAGTTGCTCAGTATTGTAGTATACGCTCAATATTGCTTAATGAATCAGCAATATAATAAAAGCTGATCTGAAGATACCCTACACCAAAAATCCCTTTCCTGGGACAGGAGTCTTTGATAAAGCTGGTAGCCTGAAGAGGCACTTAAAGCCTGAAAGGCTGAGAGGACACTAAAGTGACACAGTTTTTATGAAGTTCTATTCCACTTTTTTCAATTATGTCCAAACAGAAGCTCTAACCATATGTAGTGTCAAGGTAGACTGTATGTATACATGGCTTAAGAAGAATACAGCAGTACAGGTTTATGATATATCCCAACACTACTGTGCTTGGTTCCTGAAGATTTTTCAACTCAAATTGTTTTTAGGTGCCTACCATATACAAATAAAGTAGGTTTTGTTGGTGTCAAATAATTCAGAAATAAGTTAACATTCGTCTGGTTTTGGAGGGGATAAAAGAAACAGAGTCAAGTTTCTTACGACCTTGATGTGCTGTTGGTAGGAAATGCTAAGATGCCTCAAGAAGCATAAACACTACAAGCACTATAACATTTAAAGTCCTAGACAATGAAAGAGTTTTCAGAAATCCAGAAATGCCCATGTGGGAAACAGCAAACCTGATCTAATAGAAATGTTACCAATAGGGAAGCAATTTCAGGTACTCCCCAAGTTATGAACAATAAACTTGTAAATATCTCCATAAAGCCACCGTTAGGTTTATATACCTCCCCTCTTCCCAGTAACCCCAATGCCTAATCTAAAGTTTTTCCATTTTCAGTTTTCTCCATTCCCAGCTCAGTTAATTGTATCGCAGATCCTCCTAATCTCTCTCTCTCTCTCTCTCTCTCTCTCTCTCTCAATACCCATGCTCTCTTTTACCCTCTTTCTTTCCGGTCTTAGAAAATTATTAAACTCCTTCTCTATCTCTCTTCCATTATGACTACCAAACCGTGGCTCTAATAAAACTGCTAGGCAAAGATTTATTCTATTCATTCTCATTATTTTAAAATGTAAGATTCAAGTTTTACAAGGATATTCTGTTAGACACAATGAGAAATGAAACATTTAAGTCCTTAAAAGTACTTAAAACATCCTTTTAGAGTTTCTCTCTCATACTGTAATCAAATCTACTTTTCTTTAAGCCTCAATGATTTAAGTAAATTTTAAATGTTATTTCCTAACCAATTTTGCTTTTAATTACCAGCAATACAAAAGAGGAACAAAAACAAAACCAACTATTGTCCCTAAAAATAAAGTTTTTACATTACATTATGGGTTAAATAAGCTTATGAAGACAGGTTTGTCAATATAACCACCATGTAATACATGGTTTTATAAGAATAATCCAACTTCTAATAAACTGTATTGAAAAAGGTATCTTTTTTTAAACAATCTGCTTTTCCCTTATCAAGAAACTTTGTTTCCTCAAGTGAATAATTTCTGGGAAAGTCACATTAATAAGTAAAAATAAGTGCAAACAATTTATTTTGAAATGATGATTCATATTGTTTATTAGCAGCAATCAAATATTTGAGCATAATGCTTCATGTAATTATGAGAACAGTTTTGGCTGAGATGATGCAATTAAAGCTAGCTAGTTAACTCTTAACTTCTAGTACCCCAAATAGTTAAGAGTATACTGAAATAAGTAAAAGTGATTGACTGGTTCTCTATTGCTCTGTGTGAAACTTGGCCCTTAACTGTTGTCAGTTAACTAGCATAACTCCTCTCAAAAAGTTGTTTCTTGGCCCCAATAAGGTAGGGAAGTCACTGTCTCAGTCTAATGTTATTTTCATCTTGGTGGTGTGTTACTTAAAAGAAGTATTGCTAGGGCTTCCCTGGTGGCGCAGTGGTTGAGAGTCCGCCTGCTGATGCAGGGGACACTGGTTCGTGCCCCGATCCGGGAAGATCCCACATGCCAAGGAGTGGCTAGGCCCGTGAGCCATGGGCGCTGAGCCTGCGCATCCGGAGACTGTGCTCCGCAACGGGAGAGGCCACAACAGTGAGAGGCCCGCGTACCGCAAAACAAACAAACAAACAAAAGAAAGAAGTATAGCTAGTGAACCTCCTCCTAAGGTTCACTCACCCTTAGTTTTCTCCTTTGAGAAAACTCAACATCTAGAAGCCCAAGGCTTCCAAGATGGTTGTACTTCCCAACCCACCTTTCAACTGTTATGTTGACATAAGAAGGGAGAAAACTATGTCTAAAACCTTCTACACCTCCCCTGAAGATCTAGAATTTAAAGGTTCCAAGCCGAGTGCTGGAAATAAATATTCTATGTCATGCGGTGTTCACTTGTCCTGTGTGAACTATTCTTTATGCCATTCAGAACCTCAGGATTTAATACAGAGGAG